ATTATTAAATTAATTGATATATACATAATCAAGCCAAAGAAAAGAAAAAGAGAGCAGCGTGCTTCATGTGCTAAGTGTACGGTATTGGTTACAATAATTCATCCACAAAATTCAGTTTTTTTTTTTTTTTTCATTATATAAGAAGAATAATATTTTTTAATCTTTTTTTTTTAATTGATTTCAGATATAGGACAATAAGTCAAAACCCAATTCATTGGTTTGGTTGTGCATAAAAATCAGTTATTAAGCGTATAGAATTGTATGCGTGCCAAATGCCAATGCACCATACTCTAAATATGAAATAAAATTATATAATATTGACAAATTTTGAAAAAATTTTGGCATAATAATAATACTTTTAAATTAAAGTTGTCAAGTTCAAATTATATTCTTCTTCTTCCAAATTGATCATTGCTTGTTTTAACTGAATTTGGTCTCGAAATAATTGGTAGACACGTGGGATTTACTACAACAAAATCAGAAAATGACTGAAAGAGGCTGAATTATTGGCCCTTTGAAGTTTGAACCTTTTTGCAAATGCGATTTGTATCATTTTATGATACCAGCTCTGGGAACCCCTCCCCTTGATTTGAAAAGCGACTTGCTTAACATTTCCCACCTGAATTCGGAGAGAATGCTAGAAATGTACACACAATTTCTTAGTATAAAATTTCCATTGGCAACTTTACATTAGAATTACAATTCCACCGACCAAACAATACCTTTTAGTGGGCTTTTTTTTGTGGTTTTTTTTTTTTTTTTTTCTGTTTTTAGTAAAGAGATAGCATAGGATTGAAATAATAAAAACTTACTGTCTAGGGTAGTAGATCCTTACATAATTAGTTAAACATAAAAGATCGACCTCAAGTGAACATTCATTCAAAATAACAATACCTTTACTAGCTAATTAATTCAAAAATACATAGCTTAGAAGATACTCATATTACCAACCTGTCCATTGGCGTGCTGGCTTAGCATCTTTTGCGAAATGGTTAAGCCACAGGTCATGGGTTCGAGGTTGGTAAGAGCAACGAGAAGCAAAAAAGAAAAAGAAAAAGATACTCATATTATATATTAATTAAGGTTTCGTTTGGTATGATTGTAGTTTTTTATTTTTAATTTTGATTATTATATTTTTACCACTATTAAGAATTAAAACTAAAAACTAACAATTTGTTGGTTGGAGTGAAAGGAGTTTGGTTTTTAAGTGAGGTCTTAAATTCGATTCTTATGAATGGAGAAACAGACGCTTAGAGATCTTCCCTCCTAATAGGGTCCGATGCGTGTTTGATTCCGAATTAATTGAGATCCAATGCAATTACCAGATATCGAAAGGTTAATAAAAAAATTAAAATTAAAAATAAAAATTTATTTAAAATGAGTTTTAATATTAATAACAAAAAAAAATTGTTTACAATTATTAAAATTATTTTTTCATGTTATATATCCAATAATCATAATATTATATTGTAAAAAAATAAGTGTAAACGAGTTTTTATTTAGAGTTAGAGTTATAGAATTTATAAAAATTAAAATAATAAATTAAAATTTTTTGGTTTGGATCACGCGATATCTAGAAGTTCATTACGCCATCAACTAATCTGGATTTGAGTCGGGTAGACTTAATGGGTAACAAAACTCTCTCTTATGAATTTTAATAGAACTGTATTTTCAAGACTTAAAACTAAAATTTTTGATTAAACTGAAAAGGTTCCTGTCAACTCATCCATCCGTTCGTGGGTTATCACATCCATACTAAGCCCAGCCTAACTAAGCCGAAAATTACCATAAGCATTTATAAAAAAAAAAAAAAAGGGGAGAAATTGAAAATAGGGTATTTAAATTCTAACTTAAAAAAAGGGAAGAGTTATTGCTAATTGAACCATGTGGCTGCGGAATTACCATATGCATGTAGGCATTAATTCTTTTAGACATGTATAGAGTAAGAAGTCAGTCTGGCACAGCAGGAAGGCTGCATCAGCAATTGGATCTCAAATCTTCTACTTTCATATTTTTAGGTTTAAGTAAATCTTCTGCTTTAATTGCAATTGTGATTTTTAATTGAGGTTAGAAAACAAGATGGACGCTAATATTACATTTTGGCATGTTTAGTATAGTAATTTTGGGATAACGGTTAACGATTTTACCTAAACTGTTAAATATAAGTGTTTGATAAATTTATATATTTTGAAACCACTACAAATAAAATGTTTGGTAAAATTTTTATTTAACAATTTGATACTAGC